CTTAAAATCAATCAAATCACTATTGATAGCCGGTTTTCTCTTGATCTGCATGAATGTTGGACATTAGCTTTTCCGATCCGATGGACCCAAAAACGCTAAAACTAGATGCTAAGGCCTTTTTTCAGTTCTTTTTTCAGATGCTAAGGCCTTTTTTCAGATTTCTCGGTACTGACATTTCAAGTTCTTGCTCCAGATCGGCATTGCAAACGTTTTTGTCCGAATTACATTTGAGACTGTTTGTTGAATAATTTCTTGCTACCGATTTGCTTATTCCTTCCTTGTTCATAATAATGCTAATAAATTTCCAGATTCCAATAGACTTTTTCCTTGTCTCATTCTACCAATCGAGCTTAAACCATTCCCGTCCTCCGCCATACAAAAATTCGTTTACATGCAGAGCTTCAAGCCAGTTGGTTCAGTAGTTTCTGGTTAAAAGTTTCCAAAATATTTTCACCTTGAAATATCTAAAATTTAAAAAAATGTGAAAAACATTGCTAAGACGTCATCTTCACGATTTACTTGATTAAAAAACAACAATATGGTGTGTTTTGGAATCAATTAATTTATATGATCAATAGAAAAGACAACATTTTTAGATATTTCTTTGTGGGGCATAACCTGGGGGTGAATTTCCTCTCAAATCTCATAGGAACCATCCTCTTTGCCTGCCTGCTATATAAACTATGAAAATTTTAATTAGATTCTGTCCGTAGGTTTGGGAGTCCAAGGTCGATGTATTAACAGTCATACATAAACTACACACATCCATTCCAATTTATCCAACTCATCCAATTCAAATTAAATGTTTAAGTTTTATTTAATTTACTTTTTAATTGCATTTAATTTTATCGTTAATTTATTTAATTAATTTCTCCCTTTCAAAGTATTAGCTCGTTTATTTAGGAGTTTCAGTTTTTTAATTTAATTTTAATTTAATTTTTCAATTTTTAGTTGATTTCATTACGACGGATAAATCCCATAATCAGGACAATAAAAATCGACTCTTCAAGCTGAAGGCCTTATATGTGTACGCATAAATTATGATGATGTGTACGCATAAATTATGATGATGTGTACGCATAAATTATGATGATGTGTATGCATAAATTATGATAATGTGTACGCATAAATTATGATGTGTACGCATAAATTATGATGATGTGTACGCATAAATTATAATGATGATGGTAATGTGTACGCATAAATTATGATGATGATAATAATAATGATAATTTTATTATTATTATTTATTATTATGATATTTATCATCAGCATAATCTTATTAGTAGTAATAATGGTAGTAATTTTAGTTAGTTGAAGTATTAGCATTGGGAGTAATAGTAGTATCCGTAGCAATAGTAGTAGCAGTAGTTGCGGTTATGGCAGTTGTAGTAACGCTATTACTGTAGCAGCAACTTCAGTAGCAGCAGCAGTTGCAACAACTTAGGTAGCAGCAGTCGTAGCAGCAACTTCAGTAGCAGCAGCAGCCTTGGCAGCAACTTCAGTAGCAGCAGCCGTAGCAGCAACTTCAATGGCATTAGCAGCAGTAGCAGCTGCATCAGTTATAGTAATAGTGGTAATAACAGCAATAGTTTTAGTCGCGATAGAAGCGGCAGTAGCAGCGGTTAGCTGTAGAAACGTCAGCAGTTGTCGTTTGTGTTGCTAGTAACAGAGTAATAAGAAGAGTAGATATAATATTTGAATTAGTTGTAGTAGTGGTAGTTGTAGTAGTAGTGATAGCAGTAGTAGAAGCAGCAGCAGTAGTAGTGGTTGTACTAGTAGTAGTAGTAGTTTAGATGTTGTAATGTTAATAGTGTTTTTCATTGCTAGGCGTAGTGGTAGTAGTAGTAGAATTTTAAATACATCTAAATCATTTAATATTCATCAGTCAATAAATGAATAAATTATGCTAATGAACCTAATTATAATATTCACAAGCTCA